AAACGGGAGGAGGTAGCTTACTGATCGTCTCAATCTTCGCGCGATCCACCTCAATCCCCTGCTTGGAGATCTTGTGCCCGAGCACAATCCCCTCACGGACCATAAAATGGCACTTCTCCCAGCTGAGTGCCAGATTTGTCTCTTCACACCTCTTCAGAACGAGTTCCAGGTTATGGAGACAATGAGAGAAGGAGTCTCCATAAACCGAGAAGTCATCCATGAAGACTTCCATGATCTCCACGACCAGTCTGTCGAAGATCGCCATCATGCATCTTTGGAAGGTCGCCGGTGCATTACACAGCCCGAATGGAATCCTCCAGTAAGCAAAAGTGCCGAAGGGGCAAGTGAATGTGGTCTTCGCCTGATCCTCTGGTGCAATAGGGATCTGGAAATAACCAGACATGCCATCCAGGAAGCAGTAAAACTCATGCCCAGCCAACCTCTCCAGCATCTGATCAATGAAAGGCAGGGGAAATTGATCTTTCCTGGTGGCGTCATTCAGGCGCCGGTAATCGATGCAGACTCTCCAGCCGGTCACGGTCCGCATCGGGATCAACTCCTTCTTCTCATTCGGGACCACAGTCATCCCGCCTTTCTTCGGGACCACCTGAGTGGGGCTGACCCACTTGCTATCAGATATAGCAAAGATGATCCCTGCATCCATGAGCTTCACAATCTCTGCCCGGACCACTGCCTCCAAGTTAGGAGACAATCTCCTCTGTGGCTGCCTGACTGGCTTAACCTCATCCTCCATCAAAATTCTGTGGGAGCAGAAGGATGGGCTAATGCCTCTGATGCCTGTGATCTTCCATGCCATGGCCCGGGCATACATCTGCAGCAGAGCCACCAGCTTGCTCTTCTGCTCGGGTGTCAGATCCGAACTAATAATAACCGGGAGCTTATTCCCCTCCCGGAGAAATGCATACTCCAGGTGAGATGGGAGGGGCTTAAGCTCCAACTCTGGTGGCTCCTCCAATGATGTAGCGAGCCGGGGCGAGATGGGGATCGGCTTGAATGGTATCTCTCGCCCCTCGATCATGGCCTTGTCTAGCTCTGCCAGCTGCTCCTCCAGCTGCACATCCTGTGATGCCTGTTTCCCTAGCAAAAGACAACGTTCAAGGAAATCATTAGTACCCACTCTCGTGATGGCGAGTGCGGTCTCAAAATCAGCAACAACATCACAGTAATCTAGATCATCATGGAGCTGGGGGTGTTTCATATTATCAGAAACAGAGAAGGTGATTTGTTCACCCCCAGCTCTCAAAATCAGTTTTCCATCATTAACATCAATAAGCGCCTTGGCGGTGGCGAGAAAAGGTCTACCCAATATCAATGGCACATCCACATCCTCATTTATGTCCAAAATCACAAAATCAACAGGATATGAAAATGGCCCTACTGCAACTATCAAGTCCTCTGCTATACCCCTAGGATGCACAATGGATCTATCAGCAAGCTGGATGCTCATCCTAGTATCACTGGGTTCACCTAGGCCTAACTTTTTAAACAGTTTATAAGGCATGACATTTATGCTAGCGCCTAAATCCGCCAAGGACTTCCCTACATGCAAACTACCAATCATGCAAGGGATAGTGAAACTCCCTGGGTCTTTTCGCTTCTCTGGTAGTTTGTTCTGCAGGATGGCAGAACACTCTTCGTTGAGCATCACCGTTGACAGCTCCCCAAGCTTCCTCTTGTTGGTGAGGAGATCCTTCATGAACTTGGCATACTTGGGCATCTTCGATAATGCCTCCACGAAGGGCATGCTAATGTTTACCTGCTTCAGCATTGCCATGAATTTGGCAAACTCAGTCTCCAGTCGGTCCTTGTGCAACCGAGTAGGAAAGGAAAGCTGTGGTACATACTCCTTCACCACTAGTTGCGGTTTAGGAGCAGGCACCTCAACCTCCTTCTCCATTTCTTCCTGATTAGCTGGAAGTGCTGAAGCAGGGGTCTCTCTCTCCTCTGCCCGAACAGGTGGATCGGCAGTCACCTTGCCACTCCGGGTTGTGATGGCACTGCAGTTGGCATTCGGATCCTGCGGGTGAGGAATGGTCTGACCAGGCAAGGTACCAGGAGTCCTCTGAGCTACAGCCTGGGCAACACTCCCAAGCTGGGTCTGTATATCTCGCAGCACAGCCTGTGTATTTCTCTGACCAGCTTCTAGCTCCAAGAATTTGCCTGAAGCTTTCTCCATGAATTGCTCGATGTTATTGAACTTGTTCTCACTAGAGGTGGCCAGAGAACCCACCAAATCTCTCAATTCTGCCATCAGGTCACTCTGTACTGGAGCTGCAGGTGCTGCCCCTGTCTGCTGAAATGGTCGCACCTGTGATTGAGGTGGAACTGGCCCCTGTCTGGGCTGGTACAGTGGCTGCTGTGGCTGCTGAAATTGCCCCTATCTGGGCTGGTATGGAGGCCTCTGGAAGCCAGGTGGTCCCTGGGGAGCTGGTGGTTTGGAATTTTCCCCAGCCCAAGAAAAGTTAGGATGCTGGCGCCACCCCTCGTTATAAGTGTTGCTGTAGGGGTCGAAGCGCCTGGCATTACTGATAAAGTCCACCTGCTCCTGGGTAGTAGACGATTCCCTCATCGCCTGACAGTCCTCTACGGTGTGATGGGAGCTCTCACACCACTGGCAGTGCATCGCCTGCGGCTATCCGGTACCTGCAATCAAGCCAGAACGATCGATAGCTGAGACCAGCTTCGATACCACCTGTACCAAATCAGATGACTGGGTGCCCACAGCATGCACACCCCGTCCTGGTGCTCGTCTCGATCTCCTGGCAGTGCCCCAATCGTACCCGTTCTCCGCCATCTCCTCAAAGAGTTGATTCAGCTGTGGCGGTGTTTTGGTCAACATGTTCCCGCCACAAACCGAATCAATCAGCTGCTTGTCCTCCGGGAAGAGGGCGTGATAGAAGGTGCCCACCTTGAACGCATCATTGAAACCATGATTGGGACACCTGAGGAAAAGACTGGTGTATCTCTCCCAAGCATCCCTGATGGTCTCATCTTCATCCTGAGTGAAGTGGGTGATCTGCTTCTGCAAGTCCGCCGTCTTGGACGGAGGATGGTAGCGGGTAAGGAACTTGTCCGCCAGGTTGGCGAACGTGGTGATGCAGCCCGGAGGTCGAGTGTCTAGCCACTCCTTGGCCTGCCCCTCCAGGGTGAACGGGAAGTACCTCAACTGGATGGCATCTGCTGGGACCCCATTGATCTTGATCCCATCAATGAGCTCATGGAATCGCCTGAGTTGTGATCGGGGGCACTCCCCCTCTTTCCCACGGAACATCACCGAACCGCGCAGCATGGTGATTACTGAGGTGCTCACCTCAAAATTATTGGATGGGACATGAGGGTGTTGAATGGGTGACCTCATGTCTGCAGCCCTGGCGGTCCAGTAATGTCCCATGGTCTGCTCCTCGGGATCGACCACAGCATGGCCCTGTGGATCAGCCATCTCCTCTTCTTCAGTGATCTGTAGCTGTGCTAGCGCCTCCTCCGCAGCCAGTCGCGCCTTTAGAGCCTGCTTGAAGTTTCTGCAGGTTCGTTCAAGCTCCTGGTCTAGTGGTAGTAGATCTCCCGACTGGCTACGGGTCATGCACTACCTGCACACAATCACCAGAAGCAACCCGTGAAGGCACACAGGTGGAAGAGATAAAATGCAGTAAATAAAAAGCTAGAGTAACAAATTCTCACGTTTCCCCAATAACCTAGAGGGTTCCCCGGCAACGGCGCCAAAAACTTGACTTGATGCTCTAAAACACAACACCAATCTGCGACCAAGTGTAATCGCAGACCGGGAATGCAGTAAAGTGACAAGTGATATTATCAACCCGGGGTCTAGATCTACTACTTACTTAGTGATTCTCTATTATCTAGCCAACTAAAGTAAGTGATTGTTGTTTAAAAGCAAAAGCAGAAAGAAAGCAGGAATTGATACGGTTTTCTCAAGCAGGTAAGAGTCACTCGGGAATGAGTCCCCCTAGCTCCTTAGTTAGGTTTCAATTGTATTTCCTTGAGTTTATTTACTGTTGATTAGACTGCGCAAGATCCGACAGTAGCTTGGAATCTCTTAAGCTGACCAATCCCTCTCAGTCTAACTACCCGGCAGACGACTAGTCTTCACCGGGATAGAAAGCTGAAGCAGTAAGAATAGAACTCCACTATTGGAATTGGATTCCAGTACAAAGCAGTAAACTGGCTAACTCTCGTATAGCCAATCTCCTACTACCGAATGATGAGACTCTAGCAACCTAATCAGATTCTATCTATCTCAGATTGCAGCAGGAATCAGGAAAAGTTGATCAGACTTCAATTGACTCAATAAACATGCATCATTCGATTAAAATCAAACAGTAATATCATCCCAAGTCATTACAATCAATCCCTAACACATAGAACTAGGGTTCTTCATCCCCAAGTGAGAGAGGGGTTCTACTCCATAGAGAGAGAGAGAGAGGAAAACAAGGTACAAAGCAGTCATACTCATTACAATGGGAAGAATCTGCTCTGGGATGATGATTTCCACTCCTATGACGATCTCCAAGCTTGATTTGATGAAACCCAGCTCCAAGATAGCTTCTAGGATGTGTTCTTCGTACTTTCTCTCTCTAGGGCTCTGTTTTTGCTCAAAAAGTACGATCCCCTTCTCTTTGGCTGAAAATCTGCTTAAAAGGGCATCAGCGGCCAAAGCACGGTCGAGGGCACGGCCGTGTAATGCCTCAGCCCGCCCGTGCTTTGGCTAGGGTTAATTACACGGCCAGTGCATTGGGCGAAACACTGGCGTGTTTGATGATGGACACGACCGTGCTTTGTCTAAGCCCTGCCCGTGTTTTTAGCCAATGTTTGCCAAACTCGAATTTGCTCTCGGCAGTAAAAGCACGGCCACAGAACACGGCCGTGTTCTGTTTTAGGTCTGCCCGTGTTTTGGCTCCACCTCGACGAAATGACTTCCAAATGCCCCGAAACTCGTTCTTAGCCTTTCCTTTGACGCCTGGGACCTGAAATATGACAAAATAGCACAACCCGGCGTAAAATAGGCCAAAAACACACGACTATGCCCCTCAAACGGATAAGAACTAGGAGCGCAAATATGTGCAATTACATCGTTATCACGGGCCCGAGCACGGGAGGAGGCGCGACGACTGGGCCACCCACAGCGTCAATTCGAGCAGGGCCGAGGGCACCGCCCAAGGGATTTACTCGGATGTCCCCTGCAGAGATCGAGCATAAGAGGCGGGAAGGGAAGTGCTTTAATTGTGACGAGAGGTTCACTTTTGGCCACAAGTGCGGGAAGCCTGATCTAATGTTCCTGGTGGGTCGCTGGGAAGATGAGGGCGAAGAGGAAGCCGCCGAGGGTCACATGCTGGCGCAGGAAGATCTTCAACCTTGAGGACAAGGTTGTTCTCAAGGAGGTGGGGATGTTAGAAACATAATTATTTGTTATTTTGTCGGTTTCAGATTATTTATCATTGTTTTGCGAATTAGTACTATTTGGGGAATTTGGGAAATACGAATTAGTGAGGTAGTAGAAAGTAATTAGAAGGAATATATATTCTGTAATACGTAGGTTTGTGAGAGAGGCAATTACAGGAAATAATTCTCAACCCTAATCATCTCTCTCTCCTTCCTCTTTCCTCTCTGTGTCCCTCCTCTCTTCCAAAAGGCAGCAGCTGCTGCGTCCCCTCTCCTCCCTCATTCTTCTAATTCTACTCAAATCTCAATCCCTAGATCGATCACTCCCTAACTGATCAGTCTAGTTTGTTATTCCCAACCCGTTAGAAATCTTTGTTTCTGACATTTTACTTGTATTGACGTGATCGTCGGAGCATTTCTGTGTAGTCAAAAGTTGGATGTTGATAAAGGAGGCAGAAGCAATTAGGTTATGGTAGTTTGAATGTCTGATCAACCAAGCAACTTGTTTCTAGTAAATACTTGGGAAGACAGTTCAACATTGTTTCAAGAGGATGTCTTGTGGTTCTAACTTCTAATTAGAAGAAATTGCCCTAGACTGTAAATGTGTATTTGCCTTTTTTATTTGGTAGCTTTAGGGTTCGTGTTTGTTAGAGCATCAGCCATGAAGAGTAACGTAAACACTAAACACATGTTTGTCACAATTATTATTAGAATAATTAAACCGCAAGTCTCCAAAAATTACCAAAAAATGAAGTACCTGAATGTCACGTCGTGAATCGCCTAAACCTTGTGAGCATTTAGATAGGCTCAAGGGAATGGCTTACAAACACTCACACACATGTTTTCACTATATAGTATTGTGTGCTCTATCAAATCTGAGAAAACTAACACTGAGTAAGAGTACCATGAAGTAGGAAGATGCAAAATCAACCATCAAAAGCAAACAAATTAGGTATAAACAGAATGCCTTTCCTTGTTTCCCTTCAATGGTTGGCTCTATCTCACTTGGCAGCAAAGTACCATGGGGCTTGGATCCTACATTGACAAACACAATTTCCTCTTCTACCTTCTATCCCAATACTACATAAACGATTACATAGATCACACCACGCGTAACTTGCGGTACAAACTAACTACTTGAATCAGGTGTACCAGTTCCTTTGAATAAACAATCAATTACCAGTGGAGGCAACTGCGTCCAAACCTTCGTCTGGGGCTTCCACCAGTTTACATTTCCCAAACCTTGGGGAGATCCCACCGAGCCTAGCAATAACACGAAATACAGTCAGTCTCAATCAGTCAATAGATAGTGGTGCAGTAGATCACTGCATCATTACAAAGAAGCCGGTACTCGGTACTTGGCTCGTACTAGAATTTGCCTGTCTGTGAATGACCTGCATTGCAAACAATTTCCAAACTAAGGAAGCATAGGAGAAATACTGGTAGCAGCAACAGCTGATTTTCGTCCAAGTGGGCTTAGATACTGTGAAATTATATGATGCTTAAGAGTCTAGAGACTAGAGAGCACACACCCATGCAGTTCAACTTGTAAGATCCACAGAAAAAAGGCTATGCGTAAATTTTTTTTGAAAGAGTAGAATTTAAGCAGAAGTGGAAACTCAGGAACAAGATATCAGGACCTGATCAGCTCCATGACTCGATGATGATGATGATGATGACGGTTTTTCTGCCTGATGTGGATTCTGCCGAGCAGCTGTGTGCTTGTCAACCTACCAACAAGAATGATACAATGATGCTTGAATAAGCTAATAACAGATCTTTTGCATCTTTCGAGCCATGTTCATAGTATGTCCACAGAAGGAGTTTGATTAAACCAATCGAACTTGTATTTACCTGGTCTGAGCGTGCCGATATTGACGTTACAGGTGGTACACCCATCTTCCCGAGCATAAGCTCCATGTTCGCGTTCATCCTAGCAATCTGAGCTTCCATGCAATTGTACTTTTGCTCAATTACCTCCACTTTTTGATAAACCTTGTTTGCTTCATCGTCTGCTTGCTTCTTGGCATCCATGGCCATCTTTGCAAACTGGATATGGCCACACTTCCGGCCAAATAGAGTGTTAGGGGTAGGTCCCAGACCACACATGCGCACATGGCTGTTCTTTTCTTCACCCATTACTTCACAGAATGTGTCACGAGAGCTATCACTGGCTTCTGATTCCTGTTGCTTCTCAGAAGCTTTTTCCTGCAATTTTGCCTGAGACCAAAAAAGAAATCACCAAGTCTTGATGCTGTAATAGATCATAATAATTAATACCACAAATCTATTAACAGCACTGAACTTAGGACATACAATTACTTCTGCGGCCTTTTCACTGACAGGATTTCCATCCTTTCGTGTATGGGTCAGCACATACAACTCTGCCCTAGTAGGGGCTTTCCCATCAGCCCTTTTCGCACGCTGCTCACATTTTACCCACACAAAAGACCATAAACCACTATTATCTGAATGTGGAATGAGGTGTGTGATTTTAATTTCAGTAAGTTGCTACCTCTTCCTCTCTTAAGGTCGCATAACTCTTTGAACCAGAGGTGTGTCCACCTTTAAGATTAGCACGATTGGCCTTCTGCCTAGCAGCATACAACTACAAAAAGAAACGTGATATTTCAGCCTCCACATACCAACAAGACACCCTTAAGTTTAGAACTGATAAATGTTTCTACCCGCAGGACATACCTGTACTTCTTCCTTGTTCCAATAGGATATGAGAACTGGCCATTGATCGGGAAGCACTCTCTTGTCAAGATTCCTCATACGCTCCTCATCAGTCTTGTATGAGAAATAATCTGCCTTCAACGCTGCTTTCCAGTTCCTCCATTTCGTAGAAAGAGACTTCATCACCCATGATTTCCCCAGTACTGGATCAATCTCAAACTTTGCCTTTTGAATTACACAGACAGAAGGAATTCAGTGAAAGAAACAAATAAAGTATGAAATCAAGGAGAACATGGATTGTACACCTTAGGGGATGCTCCTCATCCTTTCTATATCGAGCCTCTATATATATTAACCCACTCATTTCCATCTTATCAATTTACCTATACCTAGGAGTTTTTAAGTTACCTGAACCATCAGCCACATGGTTTCTTTGTTCTCCTTTGGCACTCTAGACCAGTGCACGAGGGTAACAGGAGCCAAGTTACCATCCCGTACCAAGGTTCCCAGAAAGGAAGCCAATTTTCTTCCTTCAGGGCCAAATGCTTGTCCCAAATCATTGAGGGGAACAACCATTTTGCTACCGTCAGGGGTATCCCATGCAGCGCGACGATATGGCAGATCCCGTTTTCGCTTCCCTAACCTAGGTACAGCCTGTTTCAGACTGCCTGGGCTGCTGTGGTCTTCATAGTGCTGGGATGGGGATTGCTGGAAGGAGGGGGTTGCAGTTTCCAACGGACAATTATTAGAACACCCTTCGTCCTGTCTCCCGCCCCTCTCCAAGCCATTCACATCTAACAAGCACGAGTTGATCACTTAGACAACTGAATAACAATCACACAAGACAGTTTCAAACTAAGCATAATATTGGGCCTGTTGGTTTCAGCCGAAGAAAACTACAAAAGAACTGGACTTATAAAAGCTCAAACAAACACATTCATTCAATCTATGTTTTCAAAACCAATATTCATGTTGGACCCGACAAACTATAAAATCTAAAAGCCACCTTACCTAAAGTGCCAAATTCCAACTATGCGTCTTTGAAATAAGAATGTATTTTTAAAGTTTTGCCCATAATAGTCATTTATAGAAACTCACTCATTCCTATATTATCAAAAAAAAAAATATCTATGATCTTATTAATTACTAAAATAACAGTCTCGTCACATCAACTTTATTTTTTTCTAGAACCTAACCAAACACGTTTTCTTCGCCTATACTAAAACTCGAAAAATTCACTATTTTAATCAAACACACCCATTATAAACTGAATGAACAGCAGACCCTAAGCAGTTCATCGAAAGTTTCAGACCAGAAGGAATGGTTCAGAGGTTACAGAGCTAAGCAATTCCTTAAAATTCGACAACTTCATGCCTACCAAACAGCATGAGAAGCATAATACCTCCTGCATGTGAAGCAGAAGCAAACCACTCAGAGTGCTGTGGCTGTCCAATATTTCCATTGGGTATCTGTGACACATGTTCATGACTATAACCAACCGGAGGTTGTTGTGGTTGAAGTTGGCTCTGGTTAGTCTCTATGGGGATAACTGCATCTGTGGACGCAAGTCCATTTTGCCCCAAATCACTCCTACCAAGCAGCTCAACTGGAGGTCCTACATAATAAATGGAAATAGAACTTATAAGTGCAATGCAGACATAGGCCTTACATCTCAGTCATCATAAGAACCCAAAGGGTTCAAATGCACATACTTGCAACGTCATTCTCTTGAACAAGAGACATAGATTGCTGTCGCTGACTAGGACTTTTATCGCGACGTCTCAGATAATGTAGGGTTGACTTTGGTTGATGCTTAGAATGGCTTGACTTAGCCATGATAGGATCCCGAGCTGAATCTTTCTTTCGCTTCCTAACAGAGTCCACAAAGGGTGAATCCAGAGATCCTGCAAGACCAAAAGCCACAAAATAGTAGGCCACTTGTGTACAAACGGAAAATAGAAACAAGCTTCAATAAGTGCTTTTGTGAGTACAACATAGGGATGCCTGTGAGCCGATGCCCCAAACTAAACAAGCAAGTCCTCTTAAACTTCAGGGTTTCAACTAGAACACTTATCTTCACCCTCTCCTGCACTTAGAGAATCTAAGGGAGCATCTTTAGCTGAGTTGTTATCAATCTCCGGAGATGATCACCAAGCAAAGATAGCCTCACTATTAATTAAGTACCCCCAATAACCAATCAAAGTAGATACCTGCATCCTCTCCATTGATTCTAGGTTGCAGCTCTGGCAATTTTAGTGAGTCATTGGTGGTTGGCTGAAGTTGAGGCAACTGAGAATGGTGATTGTAGCTTGATGGAGGCACCTGAGCCTGCTGACTGTAGCTTGATAGATGCAGCTGAGAGTGGTGGTTGTAGCTTGATAGAGGCTCCTGAACCTCGTGGCTGTAGCTTGATGTAGGCACCCGAGCCTGGTGGTTGGAGCTTGATGGAGGCACCTCAGCCTGGTTATCATAATTTGATGGAGGCACATGAGTCTTTTGGTTTAAGCTTGATGGAGGCACCTGATCATGGTGGTTGAAGCTTGATGGAGTCCCCTGAGCCTGGTGACTGTAGCCTGATGGATGCACCTGAGCTAGTGACTGGTGGCTGTAGCTTGATGGAAGGTGAGCTGGTGACTGGTGGTTGTAGCTGGATGGAGGCACCTCAGTCTGGTGGTTGTAGCTTGATGGAGGGAACTCAGCCTGGTGACTGTAGCTTGATGGAGGCAACTCAGCCTGGTGACTGTAGCTTGATGGACGGATGTGAGCCAGGTGACGATAGCTTGATGGAGGCACATGAGCCTGGTGGCTGTAGCTTGATGGATGCACCTGAGACTGAGAGTGGTGGTCGTAGATTGATGGAGGCACCTGAGAGTGGTGGTCGTAGCTTGATGGAGGCACCTGAGTCCGGTAACTATAGCTTGATGGAGGCATATGCTGATTATAGCTTGAAGGAGGCACCTGGGCATGGTGACTATAGCTTGATGGTTTGACCAGAGCCTGGTGATCATAGCTTGATGGGCTGATACTGACGTGACCCATCATGTGACCATTACTAGTCAAAAACTCATGTTGCCCTACACATTTAAATTGAATAAGCAATACTTCCAACATTGGCACCATGATAATGAAAGAAATTAAAAAACAGAAAGGCCACGAAAACTTTATGCAGCTCCAAAGGCCATTTGCCGAATCATTAAAAACTGTAACACCGGAAAAGGAAGAATAGCAGGTAAGGCTGTGGGCCAAAACCATTTCCATGAATATGACAGAGAAGACACTCAAAGAGACTTCTAACATAAAGTGACCATCAAACCAACCTAAGTTACTAAGAAAAGCACCTATAGAGTGAAAACGTACCAGTAGGCTTTTGCATTTCAGTACGCAGGCCGGCTGATGTCCAGTATTTCAGAAACTTTTTCTTCACTCTCTTCATAAGGTACACAATATAATCACCTTTCTTGTTATACTTCAAACAATGTGCCCAAATGCATTCGACGTCCTTGTATACATCATCAGAATTTAGGTACTTGAAACCATTCTGAAGATTGCTACATATTGTTCCAAAATCCATAGGTATATCAATACGATTCTGCACATGATCACAAACATCCATCTCAAACCACCATTCCAAGCATTGAAAGTGCACACAGTTATTAGGTTGTGATGGATTTGCTTGTTCTTCCAGACATACAAAGTAAGAAAACAACTGATACTTACAGCAAATCCCAAGGGAACAGGGTCAACAGGAGCGCTAAATGATGCAGCTTCATCCATATCCATAATCTTCTTAATCACCTAAACCAAACCCCAAAAAGACCCCCCAAAAAAAAAGTCAAGTATTCTTCAATCTAGACGCATCATGAACAAATTATGGAAAACTTCCATATTCTGTTCATTATTCTATGTGAAGAAGAAAATGCCAAGGAGAATAAAAAATTCATTTAAGGAATCGACATACTCCTAAGCAAATATTTAGTTCTTTGTCATTGTATCGGGGATCATGGCATGACTTTTTCGATCTTCTGTCTTTACTGCTCCAAGGATGCAACCCACTCAATGATGTAACCTGCAAACTACTACCAATATGCACGGCATAACCTTTTGTAGGTCCACCGTGCTTGCGCCCTGACATATCACCCCTCCAGTCAATCCCTTGCTCCACCATGCCACTATTACCACCATGAACACGGAAAGAGTTGTCATCTCCACTTGATGATGAAGAAGGAGATGAACTAAAACGATTGCGAGAACGGATTCCATGGTGGCCGACATCACTAGTTTTCTCCGGTCGAATGCTTTCTTGGGCAATCTGGCCGACAAGGTTCAAGAATGCCTTCTTAGTAGCGTTAAGTCCCCCAGAAGCAGTCGGAGGGGGTGGAGCAGCGGCAGCGGCAGCAGCAAAAGCCTCTGTGGCCGCAGCAAGAGTCTCTATGCCAGTACGATCTTCTGGAGAAGCGGGGGTTGGAATTGGAGGAGCTGCAGCAGGAGCTTTCTTCTTCTGCACACTCTTGGCCCTCGCCTTCGGGGCTGCACGCTTCCGACGAGTTTTCATCACTGCAAACAAGAGAACTCAAGAAGTGCCTTCCTCTTAGTTCCTTCTGTCCTTTGCTCTTTCACCTGTTACAAAACCATACAGAAACATCAAACATTTAAAAAAAAATGCACCTCTCCCTCTGGTAACTCGAGCCAAGCTCAATCATCTCTTTAACGACCCGAAGCAGAAATCGAAACAGGAATCCAGCGATGAACCGGTAAACAAATGACATCCAAGCGAAAGAGAAGCTGAAAACCAGAATAGAAAGGCGGTAACTTACGAAAAGAGCTCAGAAGATCAAAGAACGCAGGAACTAGGGTTTCGAGAATCAGGGGGATGGGATTCCGGCGGGCATCCAGAGAAGTTGAAGATGGGAGGTGTTCAGTAGAAATTTAATCGGGTAACTGTCGTAGGTTAAGGAAGAAATTCGTAAGTTTAGGAATCCGGCGGTTGCCGTCGCAATTTTCGTCTCTAAATTTGCCTCCGCTTTGTATCAGATCCGTGCGCCTGCACATTCTTCGGTATGCTGGCGGCGCAAGCAGTTAGTGTCGCTATTATCAGATTGTTTTTTTTAAACAGAAATCTGTATATTATCTGATAAATTTACTGAATTGCTATTTATCGCCCTAAATTTAAAATTTTATCGCCTTAAAATATACTAAACTGACATTTTTATCTCCTCCTAAACCAAATAATTACCGAGAAGCTAATTACTTTGTTCTCCTTTTCAATTTTTTCGGTAATTGTTTATTCTCCTTTCTTGTTAAGAAAAGGAAACAACAAATTATATCTATCCAGTAGATTTATCTTCATCTCTCTCCCATCCAAGGAAAAAGCTTTTTCTTCCTGAAAATGGCAGCTCCACGGTTCACGCTCCACTCCCACTCACCGTCGGTGAATAGGGGATTTTTTCTTTCTTTTACCACGACTAAACGAAAATAGAAGAAAGCGAGTACAGCAGCGGCAAATGCGACAGCGGCAGCCGCAAATGGGATAGCAGCAGCGACAAAAGAAAAAGTAGCCTCTCGCCGTCGTGAAAACCAACGTTCTCGAGGACGATCCAGCGACCCCTGGTTGTTCCTGAACACGATTCGCCGCTAGAAGGAAGAAGAAGACGCGCACAGCAGGAGTTTCTTATTTTTTTGGTTGGAGTCAGCCGGGTAAAAAATCCTTCGCCGGCGAGCTGTTCGGTTTCCTGATGGCTTTTCAATCCGTCTGTTTTTTTAACTATCCTGAATGTGAATATGTCTTGGACGGGTAATTGTGAATGTAATTGTGAAATAAGGATATTAAAGTAAATTTAATATAATTAGGTCGACGAATAAAGATTTTTAGGGCGACGAATCGGGTTAAATAGATCGAGTACCACTAAAATATGAAAATTGAGAGAGCTATACAACTTAAATAATAATAGGGAATCACGTGTTACTAAACTTTATATATATGCACCCCGTACCATAAAAGTTTACTAATAAGTCCATTCCGTTAAAGTTGACGGAATATTTTTGAAATATTCTATTTTCTAAATTTTAGAATTGGTCCTTCTACTTTTCTTATTATAAAAAAATCATTTGTACTTATTAAAACGTATTTTTTTATTGTTTAGTTGAATTGGTCTTTCTAATTTTTCATGTTTAATCTCATTGTAATTCACTAATATTATATCGTAGATGTTACGTATTAGTTAAATTTACTAATTCTAATTCTCTTACTATAATCATATTTTCTTTTCTATATTTGTTAATGAATGTAATAGCTTTTATAGTTTACTTATTACTTATTACTTTCCATCACTTTTCGTTATATATTGTTTTCAATTACTAGAATATGTTTAATTTTTTCTGATTGTGTTCATTTATCATTGTTTGGTCTTGATGTATCGATGGTCGATTAGGTTCTATTTTAAGTGTTTTTTTGTAGTGTTTCTAATTGGTTAGGGGTTTGAATAGATCTTCTAATGTTAATTTTAAATATTTACTATTTTTGGTATATTTATTATTCCTTTTTTATTCGTTTATTATTTTTACTAATTTATCTCTTTTATTGAAAATTTTCATTAGACATTCTAGTAATACAATGTTTAGAAGGTTTTCTAATTTTTATATCAGATAATACTTGTTGACATATAATTTTGGATGTTTGTAAAAGTTTTGGATACCAAAACGTCATTAAAAGTTTGGGTTGGATGGAAAACTAGACGGATGCACCTTTTGACGACTTTAATGGTACCTAACACCCTATTCAAAATTAAGTGGTATGTGATGTCTACCCCTGATCTGCCATGTTAGAAACATGCCACATAAGCACATTAGACTACCCAACCTTCCTACCCAAGCCAACAAATTGAGCCGACCCACTTAAAAATTCTCCTTAAAAATAAAATTATGATAAAATAAAATTATGATAAAATAAAAACAGAAAAATAGCAGCTCTAAGACACCTGTTGGTATTTCACCATACACGCTTATTTATGGCAAAGCTTGCCATCTGCAGTTGAGCTAGAGCATAAGGCCTTTTGAGCCCTTAAGTATCTTAACCTTGACGCTTGATTCGGGCTCAAATGTACACATTTTACCCCTCATATCTTGATCGTTTAGCTTAGTATTTCATCGTTCCTCGACATATTTCACGCTAGGTTGTGCTTGTTTTGATACATTTCAGGTCCTAGCATGTGTGGAAGGGTCGAGGACGAGTTTTGGGATAATTGGAGGTCAAAAAGCACAAACCGAAGAAAACTCCGAAGTTCGTGACAATTGCCCCGTAACAGTGAAGTGCAGGCGTCCAGGAAACAGCCGCAGTTCACGGCCGGACAAGGCAGTTCACGGTCTCCTAAGACCGTGAACTTCGACCACAAACTGTGAACACCGACGCGTCCAGCGAGGTTCTAGAAGTTACTGACGACAAGGCAGTTCACGGTCTCTAAGATCGTGAACTAGGGCCATTGACTGTGAACCCAGGAAGCAAAGCGGTGTATTTTGGAGATGACTGAGTTCACGGACGCGTTTAGGTGTTCACGGTCGTGAACTGGCCAACGCGTCCGTGAACTGGTCACTTTCGGGGAAATATGAAGGCAGCAGCGGGGAGAGAGAAATGAGAGCTGGTTTTCAGAGAAGAATTGGTTTCTCTCTCTAGGGTTTGCCCAAAAACACCAAAGGGGAGTTCTAGTGAGAGAGAGAGAGAGAGAGAGAGAGTGCTAGAGTGATCTTGGAGCATCATTGGTGGCTTGGATGGAGATTCAAGCCTAGAAGAAGAAGAAGCAAATCTTGAGCTCAAATTTGTAATCCCTCTCTCTCTCTCTCTCTCTCTCTAGAAACTTACTCTTTTCTCTTGGGTGTTGTAGATCCCTAACTAATACTTTGTAATTACTTGTTTAGATTGAATGATTGTCATTGGGTATTGTTTAATTCAATGATTGAGGTATTATTCATGTTGATTGTGCATGCTTGTGCTTAGCAATCTAAGGATTGTGCATGTTTGTGCTTAGCATCCTTAGGTTTGTGCATGTTGGTGCTTAGCACTCTAATTAGCCACTTTAATCTAGATTAGAGAGGAAAATCCCCCTTTCAAGGGAGACTCAATCGATTTGGTTTTTCTTTAGCTTTTTAAGTCACCTAACTAGGTTAATTTAGGGCAAACCTCAATGTTGAATTAAGTACATTTGTTATGTGCGATCAAGCCGCCCAACCCTTGAGTTGAGTGAGGGAGTAAGTCAACCACCGATTGCCTAAACCGAGAAGGCCGAGTGACATGGCCTATAATGTATACCTCGGTTTAGCAATCGAGTGATATGATCCTAATTCGAGAATCCTCCCAAATCGGACCAAAAGCCAGAGTTGCACACGTCGAACTTTTTAGGGGTTTTCTCCTTTCTTGAATAACACGAAAATAAAGATACTTGCGGAATCGATCAAACAAATCCGAACTCGTGAGAAGGGCCAGAAGGTATATGAAACCTTCCAAACAATCTCGAACCCGTGGAAGAGGCCAACCGATATCGTCGATGCTCGCCACAACTAGACGCGTTCTCTAGTTGATAAGAGACCACTCAAACCTCACGAATCCTCAAAGGAGCGAATAAGCAAAACGTTCACTTGAACTTGTAAACACTTGTATTTGATTGCTGAAACTTCAATATTGGGTACCAATTTCGTATCTCTTATATCCTCTATTTATAGAGGTCACAAAAACATTAAACTAACCTAAAAGGAATAGGAAAACAAATCCCAAACTAACTAGAAAACATAATACTGCTTAAATAAGGTGTATAACTCGTTTTTATGACCAAAGGAAGCTCCTTAGCAGCTAAGTAATCTCCAAACACGTTTTTAATGCTTAAGGAAGCTCCTTAGTGGTTAAGCAATCTCTTTCCTTGTCCTTTTCACATTTGGATGATCTAGGTAGCAAGGATGAACGTTTTGGGCTCCAAGAAATGTTGTAGGTCGGATCCTTAATGCATTATCCATTTTATCCATCAAGAATGCTCCTAGTTGATCCTTAAATCGTTGAATTCAAACCTTCATTTTGGGACCACGAGAATTGAATATCGCGCTAGTCGATATCGCATCATCGAGAGTGTGGTCTACGACCATATTTGCATCCATTTACGGTTCGCGGTCACCTTGCCCATATTTGCATCGTTTGAATCCAATGAGTCTTGGTAGCTAGTTAGGGGGAAGCAACTCCTGGGTGAAGCTCCCTTAGTTAGAATTTTCCTTTATATAGTTTTCTTTTCTTTGCTTGTTTTAGTTTGTAGTTTTCTTAGTTTGAAACCCCAATACCGTTTTGCTAGATAACAACTTAAGCGATTGAAGTAGGGGTACATGGATCGGCCCGGGTTGACAATTTAAATACTTGCTCTATACTGCACCCGGCTAGAGTTTAAAAACTTGGGCTCTAGTCGGGATTAATTTGTGGTGTAGTTTCGTGTGAGTCAACACTACAATTGTAAGAAATGAAACAAAGTTGTCGGTTCTAGAGCTGGAAGAATAAAGATACCACGCCTACGAGAACACGTGACTGTACAAGGAGAGGAAGAACAATCTGCACGACGCTCGTCTGAAGCAAGTTAAGGAATTATAGTAGGGCGATCGAGTTATCCTTTATAACTCTCGTCTAAGGATGTTTCCTACCAAGCTCAACTCTCGGTGGTGAGCACCATTCTCGGTCACTCAAATCTTCCCGTATGGCTTGGTGGAGATCTTTCATCGACAAAAAGGGACATTCAAGGTAATAGTCACCGCCTGAAGCTGTATTTAGGAGGCAATGTTCCTTGCTATGAGGACGTGTTGCTCCTCTAGTACACTTAGTTCCACCAGTTGCGTTCAGCTAATGATGTAAAAGAAGTGTTATTGAGGAGGCAACCTCACCTCGGTTTGCATTCTCTTTCCCCTTTTCTTTGATTTTTTCTTTGGTTTTTTTATTTTTTTTTGTGTGTTTGTTCTTTTTGAGTCCAGAACCCCCATCGAGCCTTCAGTCGTCGTCTTTTTGTCCCTGGGTGTTTGGTTTTTTTAGTTTGGGAGTTGGTTGCATCCACTTTGGGGCAAAATTTGACTTGTGCGC